GGTTGTGCGCGGCGGAGTCGGCCGTTGCCTTGGCCGGCCCATTCTCACCTCAGCGCAGCCTGGCCGCTGGGAGCGGAGGAAAAAGCAGCTGGATCGGTGAGGAACCGGCACTTGCCTGCTGTGGGGCCGGTGAGGGGCTAGGGTCGGCCTTTCAGCCGGGAGGAAGCGGCCGGACCGCCAGTAGGCCTGAGCAGGGCGCCTCTCGAAGTGCCTGCTGAGCGGCGTCGGCTCCTGCTGGGCTGCCCTCCGCCTCCTCGCGGGCGTTCTGGCTGCTTGCCGCTTCCAGGCAGCCAGTGACGTGGGGTTGGTTCACCCTGGGCGTTTGGGTTCGGCAGCACCAGTTTAGGAAGCTCTTCCCACGTTAATAATAGGTAGACCAAGTGAGTCGTTACAGCTGCCTGAACACTTGGTGGTTTAGTTGCAAGCAGAGCACTTTCTACCCGTTTCTCATTCAGTGTGCACCAGTGTTGGCACATGCAGGTGAATGAGACTTTTTTGTCAGCATTTCACAGAAATACATTAACTTTGAAAACTGATCTAAAATTTTGTTGTATTAGTTTAGCCTTCGTGGTTGAGGTGTTGTAAGACAAAGTGAGTAACAAGTGTTTGGCGTACCTCCTGTATCCCAGAGTTCTTCACTTAAGACACCTAAAGCCTATGTGTGTAAACATAAACTGAACCTAAAGTCTTTTATTTTGCTTGCAGAGACAGATGATGAGGCAGGCGGCAGTAGGACAGCTTGCAAGTTAGCAATGCAGAAGCCCATCTGTAGTTGGTGTCTCACGAATGGCAGTCTTTCACTACCAGTTTTCTTTGTTCATTTATTCTCCAGGATGCCTCCTTCTCTTTGCTGACCTCACTTGTGCTTGTCTCTGAAATGTAATTCCATGCGACCTTTATCTTTTCCACCTCCGACTGGATCGAAAAAGAGGTAAGTAGTCAAGGGATGGGAGGATAAAAAGTTGAATTTTGGGTCTGGTGTATATTGGTTCCTGCAGCATAGGATAGTGTGATGTTCTTGCCAAATTAACATGTAAAACAAAAAGTGGGGGGAAAGTATCACAAAATCGTAAGTCACGCATGCCAGAGGTTGTGCAAGCAATAAAATAAAACCATTCTTTCCTGTAAGTGCGTGCCCTGCCTTCATCTGGTTTTGCAGCCATGCCCTGGGTCCATTTGGTTCAGGTTTATGTATCTGCAGGAGTACAGGCTGGTGTCCAAAATGAAGCTGCAGCTTGAAAGTACAAATTTAAACTAAAAGTAAGAGGCACTATTTCAACTTAAATTTCAGAGAAAATTTTAGCTAAGCAACTTGTAGTTGGCTGTGTTGAGGTTTGGTGGAAATGTGTTGACTTGATAAAAGGTGCTCAGTAACTAGTTAATTGGTCTCAAAACCGGTCTTGGTTTCACATTCATTTAAATAAAAATACCATTCAAATATGACAATAGCTCATATGGCTGAGCTGAACCCTCATTTGAGACTGGGGAGTAGAAAGTTCACTGTACTTGAAAATGGAAATCCGTTTTCCAACATTCCTTCCATAGTCGTCTCATATCCAAACAGCAGTATAGCTTTCTGCCCAGAACTACATGCCAAGGACCTAGGTCGTGAGAGACTGCTACCTGGCCTTTCAGCATAGCTAGTTTAGCTCTTTCCTACATTTTATGAAGAGAACCCCAAACTGGTTATTTGTTAATTCTATCAAAATGAGTGGGTTGAGAAGTGACCATTGCTAGTTCAGAACTACTTGAATTAAGAAACAATGATGTCAAAAAACCCATTGTTGTAATAAATCCTTAAGAGAAATCAGATGGACTGAGTTTCTGTGGGAGTGGGGGAAACATGTTTCATATTGGATTTCACAAAGCAATTATTCTTATTTAATCATTTCATATTTTTGTGTGTTTCAAAACCTGTGATATTATGCTAAGGATTCCAATTAAGAAGAAAGATCTTTTTTTCTGGAAGTGCTGATATGGGTATGTAGCCTCACTACAATATTACCGCAAGAGATTGCCAAGAAGGATTTCTAGAATAACCCTTGAGCAGGTTGGATGGAGGTTTTCAGATGCGCACTCCCAGTGCAGTTTTAAAATCAAAAGTACCTAGTTATCTACAAGTCCTTTTCTTAAATTGTTGATTACATGTAACTATAGACTAACATAATTTCTTGGTTAATCATTCTTTTGAGACTTCAAGATGTATGTAGTAATTAAAGAGAAATTCTGGCCTGGAGTAGAACTTTAGGTCTGTCAGCATATGAAAGTTATATCTGGCTGCCTACTCTGCTTTTTAAATTCACACTTCATTTTTGTTTCAGACAGTATTCAGATGGACTTTCATTGAATGGAGTGGGAAAAGAGTGTTTTGGATTTGGGACAGCTATGCAAAGGGACCTTTAGGTGATTAAATAAATTACTTGAATCAGAGCATAAAAGGAATGCTTCTTAAATGAAGAAGTATACACACCAAGAATTAAAAAAGAAGAAAAAAAAAAAGGAAGCTTTAGTGGTCTGCCACAAGAGTGTGGTGTAGAAGGGATTTCAAGGGAAAGATTTATTGGCATGTTGAAACTGACTAGTAGATCAAAACTGTAAAGTGTTGGCAGTTTGCTTTGTGAGGTATTCCTTTTCATGCACATTATTGAAGTATTGATGGATGTTAAATGGAACAAATAGAACTGGAATAAAATAAGTTTGAGTATGTTTTTCCAGATTTGAAGGTTAAAGTCAGTGATAAAACTATTGGTACTGAGATGGATCTGTACAGAGCACTTTGGTTTTGCACAGAATTGTTCATTCTGCTCTAAGGAATTTTTGCCCTAAGTAAAGCAAATAATTGCATCGATATCTCATAAGTGAACAGGATGAAGAAATGTTTTATGCAGAGTGCCTCACAGGAGCATTGTGTTCAGTTTTAGACTGTAATTTTTTGGTGTTACATGCTCTAGAGTGTTGTGAGGATGAGGCAGTAAGTTTGTGTTCTGTTCACAGATGCTGCCTGCTGCCCATGGCTTTCCAGGACTTGAATGCAAGAAGACATATTGGACTTCAGCAGCTCTCATCCTTAGCATTAGCTGGAAGAACACTACTGGGGCCAATGAAATCATGTAAATTCATTGTGGATGAAAGCACCAACCAAAGCAGATTGATTTGTTCTGCTGTTAGACTGATTGAAAGTTTGGATTTAACTAGTGCTGCTGGACAGCTTCTTAATGAAACCATTCAGGCACAAAACAAGGAGTTTAAGACTGGGATGAGTACTTTGTTGTTTCTTGTTGGTGCGTGGAGCAATGCTGTACTGGAATGCCTCCAGCAGAACATTCCTGTTTCGGCAATAGTGGCTGTGATGTCTGAGGGGTTGAACTCTTGCTGTGAGAAAGTCCAGTGTCTTCAAATATCAATACATGATGCAAGTGAAGAGCTGTGTTCTAGTAGTGTTAGGCTAAATGCTTTTAAAAGCAACACTTGCCGAATTGGATGCGACGGTCTTCTAAATCCTCAGATTTTCCTGGATTTCCAGAAAGATATTTCTGCACCAGAAGTAGTTCCAATAAATTCTAGTTCCCTTCAAGATAATGATTGTAATTTTAACAGGTGCCTGGTTTCACCTCTGGCTGATTTTGGTTCAATAGCTTCCCTTGTCAAACCAGCAGGTGACAAAAGTACATCTGTGATTTCTGGAAGTGGTGTTATTGCATCCAGCTGTAACAAAAAAAAGTTATCCCATAGCAGATACTTCAACAGTCTAGGAAAAAGCCATTTTCCAAATCAGCAAGGTAATTTTCAGGGATACCTTTCAGGAAAATCAGCAGATCCATGTGAATGTTACAGTTTAGGACACCTGGCAATGGCTCTGAGCCATGGAAATCAGACAAGTGTGAAACTGCTACAAAGCATTTTTGCATATCAACAAGAAAGAGCAGAATGCAGTGGCTCTTCCCAGTTTAATATCGCAGAAATTGTGACATGCTGTTTACTGGGCCTGCCTGAAAGCTATTCCTGTGTTTCCCCAGGCTTTGTCGCATTAGTATCACCAGAACAAGCCACAGTTGTCAAATACTTCAAAGACAAACTCGTTCGGATCCTGCTAATGGATGGTGACCTAACTGAACAATATCGGCACTTAGGTTTTAACAGCCCATGTAATGTAAGGACTATATTGGAGCACCCTAACATACAGGAAGGCAGAGTGAGAGACTTGTGGCTAAGCAGTGCATTAGATACTCTAAAAAGCTTTGACGTAAACTTGGTTTTGGTTAAGGGAAGCGTGTGCAAAAACTTAATGGAGGGATGCATAGCAAACAGTATATTGGTCATTGGTTCTGTGACTCGGGATGTGTTGTGTGCCTTTGAGGAGGTCACTGGTGCCCAGCCGGTGACATACCTCACCCAGCTGAACACTGCTTGTGTGGGGACTGGGGCCCAGGTGGAGCTGTGGAAGGCCTGTGATGGGCGTGCAATGGATCTGGGTGAGCTTGTGCCAGTCAGGATAAAAGTGCAAGGAATTCCCCTGATCACAGCTGTTCTTACCACTACTGTCACTTCGAAGATGCAGCTCACAGAAGACCGGTTCTGGTCATTGGTGTATCGACTCCATCATGCTTTGAATGACGGGAAGGTTTTTCTTGGTGGTGGTGCAGTGGAGCTCTTATGCCTTAGTCACAGTCAGATGCTTGCAGAACAACCTTTACAACCAGCAAATAAAAATGCTGTGAAAGAGTTTCACAATCCTTGGCTGGCAACATCTGCGACAGAGTATAAATCAGTTGTGCTCCAAGCGCTAGCAAGTGGCTGGAAGCAGTATCTTTCAGTGGTTATGTGTAACACTGCAAAAGCTGCATCGGAGTTGGAAGCTTATACCTCCATTGATCATCATCTCAAAAGAGCAGCTGGCTCTGGCTCTCCCTCAGCATATATATTGAAAGAGTTTAGAACAGGTGATCTGCTCAGTGGTGGTTCTGGGCCTTTTGCTGACCACAGAGAGGGTTTAAAGGTTTATGATAATGTTATGGCCAAGACAGAGGCGTGGTGGAGAGCTCTAGACTTGGTGCTGCTTGTGCTTCAAACAGATGCTGAAATTATCACAGGGCTCAAAAGGAATCAGCTATTGAACTCACATGGCTCAAGTGAATTTATGTTTTTATAGGACTTGCTGGCCTTACTTATAAGCCCTTGAGTCAGTGGGTGGAAAGAAGTTCAGGTACAATCAACATTTCTTGATAGTTTATAAAGCAAATGTTTAGATGTGATTATGACTTTAGAGTGTAACAGGAAATCAGAATCTGAAACATTCACAAGGTAGACACCATTTCCCCTTTCTAGAAGCAGGAGTTAAAAAGAAAAGTAACTTGTCATCTCTAACCTCACCCATGCATTTCTACCTAATGATTTTGTCTGTATGGATAGATTAATCCAGTCAGACTGACTTCTCTAACCTTATTTAGCAGAGCAGAAGTGCAGTTGGCTTTTTTCATTATAATGAGGAGCACTGGGCAGGTGGGTACTTCACAGAATCACAGAATCACAGA